CACACTTCTTTCTCTCTTTGCTTTCTTCACTCCTTATTTTGTACTGCAATACCAGTATAAAATTCTTTAGCTGAGAAAACTATAAAGATGTTCACTGTAATGTTTGCTGCAAGGATTTGGAATGTCTTCATCACCAGTAGCTTCTTCAAACCATAAAATATTTAGACTTTTTGAGACTGTAAAAAGACACCACTATTCCCAGTCAGCATATACACGCTCTTAATATATTGTTTATTATTAAACAACTGAGTGTAGTATTTTATATTGGATAATACTGATTCTTAACATTGGCTTTATAGTTAAGAGTCAACATAATATTTCAGTTTTCAGTAATTCAGTGAGAGTACTTTCATTTTCTTTTCTTTTTTTCAATTCAGAAAGCTTCATGCTCTCCATACTTGTATATTATCAGTGGAAGGGATCAACAGCTACCTTAAGCCAAGTAATAAAGTTTGCATTTGTCATTACAGCAATTATGGTAGATACATGAATACACAACTACAATATAAATCTCCATTTTATTCATTGGGATTTATAGAGTCCGTTCACTTGAAATAATAAAACAGTAATGTATCTAAGAATATGTGCCCTGCCCTGGCTCCTGTGGAAAAATAAATTATCTGGTTGAAATGTAAAGAAAGTAAACATAACAGTGAAGTTGTGTATATATCAATTAGTCTTTTTTCTTTTCTTTTTTTAAAGTTAGGCTTAAATTCCACACTGGTAAAAAATAAGCATTAACTAAAACTTAGATAATTCATTTAGAATTGACAATTTTAATATGGTTCCTTAGCTATTCAAGTAGATGAACTGTTTTCTGGCCTCTGGCAGCTTGTGTAAAGCATCCATATATGGTTTCATAAATACCAAAAGTTGGTAAACAATGCACATTCATGACTTTTAATTTAGAAGGTAATCTTAATACATAAATTTATCTTTCCACCTATGATTAATATTTCCAAAAGTAAAATATTTCCTACGACTGAATATAATTACAGCACTTTAGTAAGAAAGGGGTGTAATGTTATTTAACAGAATAATTTATAGAGAACTCATGCCACTATTGGATATTTTTTGCTTATTTGTTTTATGTTAATTAGGTTCATTTCTACTTGATAATCCTTCTGGAAAACAAATATTACTTAACATTTACTGCAGCACGAGTTGTGATGTTTCACTAAACAAGAGTTTCTTAAAGTGAGCTGAGAAAGAAGGGGGAGAGCACCTCTGGGTAGGGAATGTAGGTTGGAATGCTCTGTGTTTACATTTTGGTTTCAGGCTTGGCTTTAGAAGTGTGTCCTAGGGACATTTTTCAAATACACTTTTTATATTTCAGATGTAATTCAGTGCATTTTTTTATTTAAACAATAAAATATATAATTTTTGAGACCATGCAGGTCTTTCCCCCTCTTTTGAAAGAATGTGATACATGTATATGCAGATGATATGATGTATTTATTTACTCTCATTCTTTTAAGTCATTTAATTTTGAGAAATAACACTTGGATTAGTTCATGCGTTAAATCCCAAAATAGTACCCCAGTGATTATCCAATGCCAATGATTATACCAACATTTGAGAGGATTTGTTTACCATTTCCAACAAATCCGCATTTCATGTCTTCCTAACATACATTTAAACATAACTGAGACAGGTATGGTGGCACCAGTTTGGCATCCCAGGCTGAGGCTGGAAGATCTGCACGCTTAAGGCCAGCCTGAACACAGAGTGTGCCCTGTTCTCAAAAAAACAGTGACACAGCTAAGTTTGAAAGTTCTCCTATTTTCCATTACTGTAAAGTAATGTTTTTATTTTATTCGTAAAGGAAATTTTTTTTTATAATACTTATTTTTGTTCTCTGGGGAAACAAAAGATATATAGAATGTTAATGCTGTAAAATAGTATTTTGTCTTTTGACTCAGGATACTTATAAAAATTATTTTCCAACACTATATTTTCTTTTAGAGTTACGTTTCTTTGTGTTTTGTTGTTTTTGAAAGAGGGTCTCACTACATAGTGCAGCCTGGCCTTGAACTTGCTCTTATTTAGCCCAGGCTGGCCTTGAACTCACAGTGATTTTCCTGCCTCTGCCTCCCAAGTGCTGGAATTATAGGCATGTGCCATATATTCTCTAGACAAAACTGAGAAACTCAAGATTGTAACACTAATTGATTCAAAGTCCTCTAATTGATTCAATCTATATTCACTTTGATGTTCCAGATAAACACTCTTTCACACACATCTAGTATTACCATCAAAGTATGCTAGAACTTTTTCTTTCTTTTTTTTTTTTTTTGGTCTTTTTCGTTTTTATCGGTACCAGGGATTACAAGGCAGGCACTTATGCCGCTGAGCTAAATCTCCAGCCCCTAGAACTTTTTCTTATGTAAGAAATTTCAGAATCAGAATTTATGTTTGATGTAGTTAGGTTACACTAGTAAATTCTGTATGCTCCTGAAATACATATCTCAGTGATGAATGCTAACACAAGTTATAGCTGTTGATTAACTCAGGTGTGGAATTAAAGACAAGCACATTATTAGTGATTTAATGCCACTACTTAGATTACACATCTGGATTGCAAAAGTGCTATCACTTGAATTTGGGTGAAGGAATACAAAGTTCCATTGTAGTACTGATGCAATTCCTTTATAACATGATGAGTACAAGACTAATAGCTGTGTTGTCAGAGGTTTCATGTTAGACTTCTACCTTGAAATGAATTCATGCTTTAAAAAAAAAGCAAACTTCGCATGTTCAGTACTTGAAAACCAGTAAGAAAGATGACATAGGAGGATACTTCTCAATATAAAGGGTGAAGAGTTAATTCTGTACTCGTCAGTTTTGAAAAGTAGGCCTTAAAAAAACAGAAAAAGATGGCTGGGTTGGTGGCACATGCCTGTATTCCCAGGACTTGGGAAGTTGATGGAGGATTACCATGAGCTCGAGGCCAGCATGGGGTACATACTGAGTTCAAGCTCACCCTTAGCTGCACGTCAAGATCCTGTCTCCAAAAATCATAAATTTTAAAAATCTGATTCGAGAGGCCCCCTTTAACAATTTAAGGTTTTATTGTTTTGAGATAAGGTCTGTGCAGTCTAGGCTGGCCTTGAAATTATAGTGATTCTCCTGCCTTAGCATTCCAAGTGCTGGGATTACAGGTGTGTGTCACCACACTTGGGTAGTTTTTTTTTTTTTTTAACTTTTACAGATATTCTAGAAGGCATATTTGAGAAATGTGAAATCTAAAGTTACATAGTACATATTGAAATTTTGAGCACCTTAGTTCAGTCTGATGTAACAAAAATATGACTTGACTAGATGATTTCAACAAGTTGATTTCTCATAGTTCTGAAAGCTATCATGTCTAGCATTAGCATTCTTCCCTTTTCAATTCCCAATGAGAGCCACTGTCCTGGTTCCCAGGTGGTTTTCTATTTCTTCACGTAGGGCAGAATCATCTCTTTTGTCTTCTGTTATAAGGACACTAGTCCAATTCTTGGGTCTCCACCCTTATAACCTGAATACCTCCTAAAGATTCATCTAAATACTATCACTCTGGGGATTACGGTTTCAGCATACAATTTTTGTTGTTTTTTGAGACAGGGTCTTGCTATGTAGTTCAGGCTGACCTTGAACTCACTGTGTAACCCAGGCTGGCCTCAAATTCATAGTGATCCTCTTGCCTTAGTATCCTGAGTGCTGGGATTATAGGTGTGCACCACGCTTGGCTTAACATACAAATCTGAGAGCACATTCAGTTCATTGCAAACTTCATTCCTGTGTTCAACGTAGAGTGCAGAGAGGAAATGCAATCCAAATTCTCACTGTATAACACTATATCCAAATATCCTAAATTGAAAAATGCCTCTTAAGAGCCAAGCATGGTGATATATGTCTGTAACACCAGCACTTCTGGATGCCTGCATAATTTTGTCACTTGAGAGACTGTCAAAAAACAAAACAAAATAGAACAACAATTTTAAAAAGACTGAGGCTGTAGTTTAGTGCCAGGGCTGAGAATTCAATCTAAGTACCACACACACACAAGAAAAAAAAACAGCGTTTAATATATCTACCAAATGTCATAGCTAAGCAACAACACTGTACAGCCTTATTGTGAGACAGGATTTGTTTTATGCTGAATTTGGGGCCTAGGACTCAACGTGTGCTTTACTACTGAGCCAGGGTACTTGCAGCCAGCTGGGAGATGTGGTTGTTACTAGCCACAGAATACTTCAGGTGAGAATTTCACACCATTGTTAATGAATCATCGAGAACTGTTTATATGTTTCTGTTTATAAGGAACTCAGTTTGTGATGTAACTAAAAGAAAAATAAGCTAATTACAAATGCTGATCATTTAAAACAAGACATGGTGGCATACATATTACCCCAGCACTGGAGAGGCTGAGGCTGAAGGATCACTGAATTCAAGCCTAGACTGGGCTGCAGCACAATGAGAAACTGTCAAAAAAAAAAAAAGTTTGATGTTGCACTAGTTCATCTGGAAACTATTAGGGTTGAAAGTGATTTCTATTTGCTTGCTCAAATATTTATATGAGCGTTTTATATTGTACTGTACAACTCAAAAAATACAAGATTTCAGTGTTGGATGACCAGTGCATAGACATTCACAGTAGAACTTTTGTACTGGGCTTTAAATTACAAATACTTTAAACATTATCTAACAAGTAAGTAGGTAATAAGTGAGAAATGTATGTGTCACCATAAGTGTGAAACACATTATAGGTCATTGCATCTTAGGTCACACGCGTTGATACCTTTCTGAGTGGCAGGCAGTGTAACATGAATGCAGTCAGTGACAAAGGTGAACAGTGGCTGGACGCACCCTAGTTGGGGAGGCTCAGGCTTGGTTGATGACAGCTCCACAGAATGAAATGTTTGGGATTTCAAGAAGAGCTCGAAAACTTCGTTTTATGAACGAGTGTATAAATGTGGACTTCAAAAATACATAGCAAAAAATTTATTTTGGTTTAACCCTAAGTATGAATTAATATTTTATTTCTGCAGTACCAGGGGTTGAACTCAGGGTCTTGTGTATGCTGAGCAAGCAAGCGCTCTACCAATGACCTACAACCTGAAAATACGAACTGTCTCAAAACTGTACAGATTACAACTGTAAATATGAATACTTACTTTGGGGGCTTATTTTTTGGTTGTAGGTTGGTCTTGAACTAAGTAGTCTTCTCTGGTCTCACATTTACTGTGATCTTTTTGCCTCAGCTTCCTAAGTATTGGAATTAGAGGCAGATGCCACTATTCCGTGTTTCGGTTTTTAAACAACTTTCTCTCTACAGGATCTAAAAGTTTAGAGGCTAGGCTAGTAGTGGCTAATCTATGCACAAATGCTGCGCAAAGCTGTTATTGAAAGTTTTGAAAGGCTAAACATCAGTGGACTAAGCTAAACGTTTCTTTAAAAGGGCCAAATCTATAGAGAATGCAGACGCATAGAATTCATTGTATGACAAGTTCATTTGTTTTCCTTTGGTACCAGGGATTGGAACTCATGCCCTTGCACTTGCCAGGCAGGCGATTGTGCCAAACCCCTGGCCCCTCACTTCCTCTACAGTTGGGCAAAGAAATTTCCATTTAAAATTGAATTCGTTTCCGCTTTAAATCAGTAGACGATAGCAATTGTTTTTTGAGACAGGGTTTCACTGTACAATTCAGACTGGTCTTGAACTCACTTTGTAGCCCAGGCTATCCTCAACTCACGGAAATCTTCCTGTCTCAGCCTCCCGCTGGGATCACAGGTGAGCGCCCACCGCTGCTTTTTTTTTTTTTTTTTAACTCAATACATAGTAGATCGATAGGTTGTTTCAGATAAAATCTTTTCTATAGCATACATATGGTGTTTATATAATTTTAAAAGGAAGGTGCAAATCTGGGTGTTTGCGTTTGACGCCTGGGTACTGAACTGTTACCGGCTGGTTCCTTTAGAAACAGCTCCACAATGGAAAGTGTTCCACATTCTTCGAGCACCAACAAAGAGCTGGATAAGACAAATGCAGCGTTCACCTTTACCAGGGAAGCCCCATGGGGCATGCGCAGGGGCGTCGAAGGGGCAGGGCTCCGCCCCTCCCTGCCACGGGAGCGGGTCTACGCGTCCTCTGTCTGTGTGCCCCAGTCCGCACCGGATCGAGCGGTAGTCGCTGTGCCCGGCCAGCGCTCCGAGCGAAGCCACCACCAGGCCTAGCCTTTCTCGTTTCTTGAGCCAGCTGAACGACTCTCCTGCCTCAGCTTCCCAGGCGTGCTTTACCGCACTGGCCCATCCTGTAGGCCCCTGCTCCATTTACAATGAAGTACACAAATTCAAGGACTCCGAGCTGCGGGACAGGCTGCAGCTGGCCGAACGCACAGCAGGCGGCGGCTCGTACCCGCCAGCCGGGAGGCCTTCTTTGCCCAGCTGCAGGGCACTTCCGGCGAGGCCCCGAGCCGCGTGCGGAAGGCGGGACTTCGCTGCCTCTGTCGTCATCGCCAGCGCGCCGCGGGCGTCTGGGACTCTTCCGGGCACTGGCGCGCGCGCGCTCTACAAAAGAGGCTCCGGGCGCACGGGCGCGCTAGCTGGCGCGGGAGCTTCGTGGACATGCTGCTCGCCTTGCGCGGTCTGTGGTGGCGGCCGCTGCCCGGCCTTCAGCCCCGGGCCCGGGTTCCCGCGCTTCCGTTGTGGGCTGCGGCCGCAGGCCCCGTGGTGGACCCAGGAGGCTGGTACGAGGCGTTAGCCTCATCGGCGCCCGTGCATGCGGCGGAGGAGGCGCTGCTGGGCATGCACGCCGCTGGCCTGCCCTGGTGGGGCAGCATTGCCCTCGCCGCCGCCGGCCTGCGCGGCCTGCTCACGCTGCCCCTGGCCGCCCAGCAGCGCCGCATCCTAGCCAAGGTTAGCGCGGACTCTGGCAGGCGCCATTACGAGGCCAGCACCGTGAGAATTGAGAGAGAACCTGTCTTGCCAAGCAAAATGTAGCAAGCAGTTTGCAAATCAGGTTTTTTTTTTTTTTTTTTTTTTTTTCCTTTTTTGAGATCGAGTCATGTAGCCCATGCTGGCTTCGAACATGGGGCGATCCTCCTGCTTCAGGCTCCCGAGTAGTGAGATGACAGGCGTGCATTACATGCCTATTTAATGGGGTGGGGGCGCTTTTTTCTGTGGATTGAGTGTGACAATACTTTCCTTGTCTACTTTATCATATTCGAGTATACAGTGGATAGCAATGGTTAAAGTGATTTGAAAACAATAAGAACAATAAAGATGTTTTTCAGTTGGGGGATTTCAAAAAGTGGATTTCATGTTTTTAAGGCCGTGTCATTTTAAAAGAATAAAAAAGAGGAAGAAACTATAGCAGCATGAAGGCAGAGAATTATCACAGGAGAGGAAAAAATGAAGTTCATTTTTGGCTTGGTGCCCATCAAAGAATACTAAAGCATATTAATAGTGCTATTTTCTCCATTTACTGTACTGGGAAATTAGAGAGAGCAGTAAACCCTCGAGCGCAGCTTGCATTCGACCCTATGTAACTCCAGGGAATGGGTTGCGTTATATATATGAATCCTGTGTCAGCCTAGTGCTGGAATCACAGGCATGTGTCATCACACCCAGTTTATAGAGTTTCTTGACATGGTAAGCTACATTTTTAAGTGATTGAGAGAATAGAGTGTAAAATTATGTGTGGTTGTGAATAAAGATCCTTTATGTTCTCATAACAACTTCTTTTTCTTTAGCTAGGTGGAAAATTTGCAACCAGAGATAAAAAACATTGCCAAGCGTCTTAATCAAGAAGTTGCAGTTTGTGCTCATCAGTTGGGCTGGTCCAAAAGAATTGCCAGGTAAATAGTTTTATGCATAAATGGAGATATTGGACCAGGGATATAGCTCACTGACACAAATGCCTGCCTGGCAAGCATGAGGTCCTAAGTTCAATCCTTGGTACCTAAAAATAGAAAAATAATAAATAAGTGGAGGTGCTCTGTATATTAGATTTAGCAAGAAATTAGTTTCTTTATCCTTTCATTTCATATGATGCCACTGAAGCATGATAGTTTCACATATTGGACTAAAAGAAAAGAAATAGAGAAGCAAAAGTAAGAACTTGTTCCTGTTTTTGTCATACTGGGCTTTGAATCCAGTGCCTTTTGCATACTAGGCAAGTGTTCTGTTGAAGGATATCCCCAACCCTAGAGAACTTTAATTTTGAGACAGGTCTCACTGTGTTGCTTAGTTTGGCTTCAAATTTGTAATTATCTTGCCTCAGCCTCTCTGGAGTAGCTGAGATTATGGGCATGTGCCCATGCCCTTTTTTGAGATTGCATCTAGCTCAGTTGCCTAGGCTAGTCTCAAACTTTTTTTTTTGAGACAGAGTCTAGCCTTGTAGTACAGGCTGGCCTCAAACTCTTGGCAATTCTCCTGCCTAGGCCTCCCAAGTGCTAGGATTAGTCCAACTCTAGTGAGCATTTAGCCTCAGCTCCCTAACTGCTTGAGAATATCAGACCACTGTTCCTGTACTTGAGGGATTTCAGCCCGCTGAAGGAAAGACTTGTAATCCAGTGATAATGACAGTGAATTAAGTGCCCAGTGAAGCTACAAAGGTGTCTATATCCATCCTTGCCCAGGCAGCAACTCTTGAGGTACATCTGAGGACTTCTTACCTGTTTGGCAGTCATGTTAAAGATCAGTTTGTTAGGGTGGTTACTTCCAGAGGTGTGCTGATGTGGAGAGCTGATCCATTGATCTAAATTCCATCAAGGGACCAGAATATGTAGGTGTCTAGAGATATAACAGATTGTAAACTGGGAAGAAGAGAGAGGCTGTTACTGTGTCTTAATTCATTACACTTGAATTTGATTAAATTCAGCAAAACTATGGGTGATTGCCTGCTTGCTTTGTACAGAATGGTGATATAAGACTGAACATTTGACACTTGAGACTAAAGACAAGAGTAGAAGTAACTGATATGGAATGCAGATTGAAAGGATCTAGGGGCTAGGGATATAGCTCAGTGGAGTAAGTCCCTGCCTGGCAAGCTTGAGGTCATGAGTTCGATCCTTGGTACCAAAAAAAAAAAGGATCATTGTGAGAGAATGGACTGGAAAGGGTAGGCCCTTTTGATGGTCTGGGAGCATCCACACTGGTGTGTGGTCCAGGACAGAAACACATTACCACAAATGATATGTGAAGACATCTGTTGCTGGAGTTTGGCTGATGTGCAGATATCAGAGTGCAGTATGCTTGTAGCTAATGTCTTTGACTGTGGTTGTAGTCATAGTGTGCCTGTGGTGATATTTCCTGGCTGAAACCTAACTGGCCAGTATGGTATGTTTGTGCTGTGGGGATGAAACATTACCAATAGTTAAATGAAATTTTTATTTCCCTTTTTTCCTCTTCCCTCACTTTAGGCTTATTTATCTAAAGAATATGAGGAGATTTGTTTCAGAGCTGTATGTTCGGGATAACTGTCACCCTTTCAAAGCCACTGTGTTAGTCTGGATTCAACTTCCAATGTGGATCTTCATGTCTGTTGCCCTCCGGAATTTGAGTACAGGGGTAGCACATTCAGAAGGTAACTTATAGAAGTCCTCTTCTCCAAAAGGTCTCCAACGCTGTTGCACTTTAGGGAAGAAAAAAAATCAGTTTGTATTTTTTTTTTGAGACAGGTTCTCACTGTGTATCCCAGTCTGGTCTGGAACTCATAACAATCCTCCTGCCTCAGCCTCCCAATTGCTGGGATGACAGATGTGCCACCATGGCTGGCTTCATGGTTTCTATAATTGCTGTCTTCCTTTCAAAGTGTAGGGCTGGGGATATAGCTCAGTGGCACAGTTTCTGCCTGGCAAGTGCGGGGTCGTAAGTTTGATCCTCGGTTACCAGAACAAAAGCAAAGTGTAGAATTTTTTGTTTGTTGGGCAGCATATATACTAAAAAAGGGAATAGAATTTAAAATCTTTAAGTGTAAACAGATTGACTATGTTGGTAAAAGCACCTCACAGTTTTTTTAGGGGTGGTGGGTTAGGTATTTATATGAAAGAAAATAACCTGAATAAACTCAATACATATCATCATTGTGAGGGGTGCCATGCAGGAATTGCTTATGTTTTTTTTATACTTGTGCTGTTTTTAGGAATTCTGTTGTTTTATTAATAAAACTGTTTCACCAGGTTTTTCTGTTCAGGAGCAATTAGCTGTGGGTGGAGTTCTGTGGTTTCCTGATCTCACCACGTCAGACTCTACTTGGATTCTGCCCATCTCTGTGGGTGTCGTCAACTTACTGATAGTGGAGGTCAGTGGTTTGAAATGGAATTTGTTGTGGGGTTATGTTTTGTTTGTGTGTGCTTTGGTGTTCAGGATTGAACCCAAGGTGTCATATTTGCCAGGCAAACACTGTCCCACTGAGCTGTGGCCTCAACCCTGGTGTTTGTTTTTTTGTTTTTGTTACTGTTGTTCTAGCCTCAGATACACATATTTCAGTTGGACATAGCTCTGAGGCACTATTGAGACTCCTTGGATTCTGATCCCAGATCAGCCCTGACCTACGCCAATCCCGTGTTTGGTACTACAATTTTTTTTTTGGTACCAGGGATCAAACTCACAACCTCACGCTTGCCAGGCTGGTGCTTATGCCACTGAGCTAAATCCCTGGCCCCTAGTACTCTTATGTTTGGAATTCTCATAATTAAAAACAAACTCTGACTTTCAAAGAGACTTTCAGAATCTCTTTCAACTCTAAAATTCCATTTTAATATCTTTCTGTTCTTTTTCCTCCTTGGTCCTGGAGATTGAACCGAGTGCCTTTGCACTGAGCTGAATTCCAAGTTCTTTTCTAGCATATTATGTTGAGAAAAGGTCTGACTTCCGAAATTATGAGGACTGGGCTGGAATTTGCATTCCTTCTGCCTCAGCCTCCCGGAGTATGCCACTGCCCCTGGGTAATGCACTTAGTCTTACAGTTTCCTTTGAAGATAGTAATTCAGATGCCTAATCCATCTAGCTTTATTCTCACAATAGCATTGTATTTTATGAATGTGTTTATTAGTCTAAATTTGTGGATAGGGAACAGCCATACCTGATTGCGATTTTGTTGCTAAGTAACCTTACAAAACTTACTGACCTTCTTTCTAAATAAAGTAGACAAGTCTATGGGTAGAGAGTGTCTTCTGGATCACCGCCTGCTTGTTCGTTATCCTTGGTACCTTGAGCAACAGGTCAGAAAGAGCAAACTTTTACTTCCGTAGAGCACTGTTCTCAGACTGCCCGTACCACGTAGTGACCTAGAAGAAATTTTAGAAATTATTTACCTCAGCTGAAATTGCACAGACCTCAAGTCCCTTGATCCTGTTTGGGAACAGTATTATATTCCATAGTTTTGTTCATGTGGACCATATTTTTTCAGATGTGGAAAATGAAAATGATAGAGTTGAAGATCTCTGGTGAAGATGTCCCGGGGAACTGAGCGTGGTCTCAGCACCAGGCACAGCCTGGATGTGGCCGGCCCTCTGGGTGAGGGCAGAGCACAAGTGAGGCTCAGGTCTGGGCGATGGAGTCCACACTCTTGTGTTCTTTTCTGCCGCTCACGGCGATGACTGGCAGAGTGTGCCAGGCATTTCTCAAAGCAAGTCAGATGTGTTAACTCATCTCAATTCTTAGAACAACCCTGTGAGTTACAGGGATATAGGAGCATTTTTACCCTGTTTTAAGGAGAGGAAAGTAGCACAGAAAGGTAAAATTGCTTGAGATCCTGTGGCCACTAACAGTGAAGGACGCCTTCTCCCCCAGCCAGCGAGGCTCTGGAGTCATGACCTAAACAACTGATTCACGAATCACAGCTGCTGTCCTTTACTCTGTGCAGCCAGATTACAAACCTTTTGGGTCTTTTGCTGGGCATGGTGGAATCCCAAGACTCTGGAGGCTGAGGCAGAAGGATCACTGAGTTTGAGATTAGCCTGGGATACATAGTGAGACCATGTATCTAAAAATAAAACAAAAAAATTTTGGGCTGTGAAATTCCATCTACCTTGAGCTCACTGAGCAGCCCAGGCTGGCCTCAAGTTCACAGCAATCTTTCTGCCTCAGCCTCCAAGTGCTGGGATTACAGACACGTGCTATAATGTCTGGTTTAAGTTTTTTTTGAATGATGAATAGTCAGTCAGTCATACAAATTCATTGGTTTTTACTTATTATTTGTCTGTGTTTCTGCCCTGCTGGGGATTGCATTTAGGGCCTTGGGCATGCTATGCTCTACCACTGAATGATAGCTCAGCTGTTTTTGCTTTTTCCTTGTATTAAAATGTAGGGACTGGTCAGAAAATTCACTTGTATTATAAAGTTTGACTGATTTAGTATGCATTTAATAATCATTGTGTGTGTGTATTCTACTGCTTTAGCTTTTTGCTCTACAAAGACTTGGGATGACCCGTTTCCAGGTGTGCGTCACGTACTTTGTGCGCGCCATGTCGGTGCTGATGGTTCCTGTGGCTGCAACTGTACCTTCAGTAAGAGCTTCCTCTGAATATTGGATCCTTTACTCCTTTTCAAAATTCTGAGAGAACTAATCTGTCTCTGACCCCAAGTGATACTTAATCTTTCAAAACACCTTATTACAACTGTAGTACTTGACCCATTTGAATAATTGATGCATTGAGCTTTTTCTTCCTGTGTAGCCTGAACCAAGGAATTTAGCACTAAAAAAAGAAAAGGGGCTGGGGATTTAGCTCAGCGGCAGAAGCACCTGCCTGGCAAGTGTGCGGTCGTGAGTTCGATCCCTGGTACCAATTAAAAAAAAAAGACAAAAAAAAAAAATTTTTAAAAAAACCCTTTGCATTGGCCCATAAGAGTTTATATAATTTAATCTTATAACAGTATTATGAGATGGTATAGTTGTCCTTGTTTATGCCTAAATCAGTTTTGGACAGAAATAGAAAAGGGAATGATGGCATTTGTAGTTTCTGCAGTTTGTCCCATATTTCCTGAAGATTCATTAGAATCTTACCATGAAGGGAGGAGCTGTCTGAGGCATCTCCATTTTTACCCAAAACCAGCAACACATAGACCATTAAGTAGAATTTAGTTGTCTCTGGGTGTTCTGGCCGTTGGGAGGCTGAGGTGGGAGAATTGCCAAGGGTCAGGCCAACTTGGGCTACACAGTGAGTTCAAGGTTACTCTGAACTACTAGAGACACCCTGTTACAACCAAAGTAAAAGTGATTGCTAGTATGTAGGGTTATCCCAGCAAATATGGAAGTACTTAACAGTGCTTATGTTAGGAATCTGAAGCAGTATGTTTTGGGCATCGGGCTGTCATTTGGACATGATACTGTTTGTAATGCTGTTTTAAAATAAGTAACTGTCCTCATCTCTGACATAGATACCATAATGTCTGTGAGAATTAATGAAATAACATCCAGTGTCTGTTAAAGCACTTTCCACATAATGGTAGTATTGTGAAATATCCTGTGTTATGGTTTGTGTCTCTGTCTCCCCAAAGCCTCATGCAGATTTAGGTGGGACTTTTTGGGAGATAGCTGAATCTGGTGGTGTGTGGTTGAGTCACGGTTCATTGCTCAGATTAAGGGTGCTGGAATTAAGACTGGGTGATTGCTGCTCAGTCCACTGACTGGGTTGGTACCACCCTAGTCCCAGCAGTCTGGAGAAGAGAACTGGGCAGAAGGAGGCTCCTCCCCCTTGTTTTGTTCTTGTTGCCTTTCCTGCCTCACACTGCTGTGAACTGCTCTCTGCCTGCCACCTGCCTTGGACCCAGCTGATTTGGACTGAAACCTCCACAAACTGATCACTTTAGATGTGAGGTGTTTTGTCTCAGCAACAAGAAAAGAGTAAGACAGCATGTAAAGGTGCAGCAGTGCAGATTCACTGTATTTTTGGGGAGAAACAAGTCCAATTACAACTGAAGATATGCAGATGAAATAAAATAGGGCTAGTTGTGTTTCAGTGAAGGATTAGATTCAGAATAACTGATCTAAAAAGCGTGTCTTCATAAACCAGGCTTGTCTCAGAATGCCACCCTGGGACTGGCTGTCCCTGGATTTTGATGTCCTTGAAGCAGGAACGGGCACTAACATTCACACCTTTTCTTCTCAGTCAATCGCCTTCTACTGGCTGTGCTCCAGCCTCATGGGCCTTGCACAGAACCTGCTGCTGTGTTCTCCACGGTTTCGCCGACTTTGCCGAATACCACCGACCAGGTCACATTCAGACACTCCTTATAAAGACCTCTTTGCTGCCTTTTGTGCCAAGTTTAAATCAAGAAAATGATGTGTTTTCCAGTAATTTTGAAACAGTTGCTGGTGTCACTATCACCTTGATGTATGTAGATTTATAAATCGTTTAATTTGCTTTTATTTTAAAATGATAAACTGTGAAGACTGTGGGTTAAAATATAAGCCTAGGGCCAGGGATATAGCTCAGCTGCACAAGTGCCTGCCTGGCAAATGCAAGGTCGTGAGTTCGATTCCTGGTACCAAAAAAAAAAAAAAAAAAAAAAAAAATGCAAGCCTGATCTATTTGACAGTAATGAACATCTTTTAAGTGTTAGAAATGCAATATGTCTAATAAAAAAGTATAAAAATGGAACCATGTGTTGTCTGTTTAGAAAATTATAACTTCTTCAAGTTTTCAGAACTCTGAAGAATGAGATCAGAAACTAATGTCAAATTGTACTAAAACGTCTCATTAAAGTTTGATAAAGAAAGAGGATCCATCAAGTGACTTTTAATATTCAGATGGGGTAGGGAAGGACGTTCTTGTGAGAGTATCAGATAAACAGTTGGGTGTGATTTCTCTTCAGAAAACTTGTGGACTTACATGCTCAGGTCCTTTATTGACTTCTCTGAAGGTCCTCTGGTGACAGAGGCAGGGAAACCTTGTGGAACCCACATGAGGTTGACCCACGTGTGGATGGGGAAAAAGCCCAGGCTATGCAGTAGAGTGGTATATGCACAGCTCCCTCATGTAAGCATCATCTCCAGCACAGCTGTGAAGACTAGAAGAACTATCTATTTCTGTTTCTGAGTTTTAACAACTGAGTGCAGAGTGTAGTGATACATACTACTAGAGCCTGAAGTAGATTTTTAAGCATTGTTTATTTAAAGCAAGAAAATGAACATTAGCTACCTGTTGTGGAGGTCACTGTAACATGTTCAGGACAGGGTTGTAATTTGTATAGCATGTCTTGCTGCCTGGCAGCTCTCATTTGAATTAAGTGGTTTCTGCTAGCTTGAACCGTGGGGGTATGTGATGACCTCTCCCCTGGGTAGGTCATACCACATCTCAAGGGCTCTTTGATTATAGAAAGGCATTAATTTAGCAGACCAGATGTCATCTTATTAATTTCTCAAGGAAATCATTACAACAGTGTAAAACACTTATAATTCAGCCAATTCGTGGTATAGCAATTGTAAGTGCATGTTATACACACCAGTGGGGTACTCCATGTTAAAATTGGGTGACTGAGTTATTTACAAACATATGATTACTGATGAACATGTGAATACAAATTTCTTTTAATGAAATGAATTTGTTAATTGTAGTTTTTTTTTTTTTTTTTTTTTTTTTTTTTTTGTTAATTGTAGTTTTTAAGTTGTTATGAATAGTATCTATATGTGGGCAGTAATTACTCAAATTCAAGCTGCTAGCTAGCTAGATTTTGGTCCATTTATGGACTTTACTAATTTTAATAGTAAAAAGACTAAATTTAGCTTTAGTCATTCTTCACTGACTGAGGTGTTAAGACTCATTTGGACCACCAGTGATACAAGCTGCCTGATGAGACTGACATGTGTGTACCAACAGTAGGCCAAGCCCACTGAGAACTGTTAGTTTTTTGGAAGAATTAAGTACTCCAGTAGGTACATGGTAAAGACTTAATATAGGAAAAATTGACAGGTAGTATAAATTGTTACTTGCTTACTTAATTTGAAAATAATAAAATTCTTCCTAAAATATTGAGGAACAAATTTGACAGACATTTGAGGAAATTGCTAATTTTCATTGAATTAGAATATGGACAAGTCTGAGGCATGCTGTCATCCCATCTCAGTGTTACACAATAAAGTAAAAATTGGGGTACACTTTTTCATTTCTTTGGTATCTGTGGACTCTTAGTTGATCTGGATTAACTAATCGTCAACTTGTGACACCCATCTGAACTCAGTGTGGTGCTGGGTGTGAAAGGCCCACCTCAGAATTGTTGCCAACAGCAACAGCTGGATCAGGGGTTTGTATTTTTTTGGAGGGGGTGGTTTCTGTTCCCCCAAAAACAAAAAATGGAAAGGAAGATGCTATGCTATGCTATTGATCATTCTCCAGAATCTTATCATGCTGGGTTTTTCCATATGATCTCAGCTATTATCTTCAAAAGATCTTGGGGGCCTCACTGTCAGTGAGAATGGCTGTGGTTTTCTGGGGGGAGCTCTGGTCCTCACCTTGATCATCACTGGCTCCAGTGTAGAACCTCAGCCTGCTTGCACAGATCCTTCATCCTGCTAGAGCAGACTTGTAGCTTCCACTGCTCACTTTGGGCCCTTCCTAACACAGATCCTTGATACAGACTTGCATGAGTCATTGTCACGGGCTCTGGGCCTTCTGTAGTACTTGTACAGGACATTGCATGTGGAATCCAAGCCTTCAACTGGATTCTTTGGGTCTCTAGTGCATGGACAGATCTCTCGCACTTGTGTATTTGAATTTTGGGGTGAGTATTGTAAAATAATCCCATAAATTATGTGTCCTATATTAAGTCTGTTGTCTAGCAGACCTTGACTACAACAGTCAGCCTAGTTATGATCTGTGTTCTATGATACTAGATATTGAACCCCGGGCGTTACTTTTGGGCATTTATATCTCTAGCCCCCTTGCTTTTTTTTTTTTTTTTTAAAGGCAGTGTCTCCTTAGTCTTGAGGTTGCTCAGATTGTGACCGAGTTTGTAATGCTCCTACCTCAACTTCATGAGAGTACTGAGATTATGGACATGTACCACTGCACTCATCCATGCACAACATTTTTAATAAAAAGAATAAACATTCAATGGTAAGAGTTTGGGTTGCCGTATTTCTGTAGTTTGCTGAGAATTTAGAGGGGAAATGCAGCAGGTGAGACTGGGTTCTTTTGCTGATTTCTCAGTCCTGGTTTGAGTACCTCATTGAGGCATCTGCTTCTAATCATAATGAAGGAACTGAAATTTCGGTTTAGTCAGTCTTCATTATGTATGGTTTCTTATTTGCAAACATGCCTATTTGCTGAAATTTATGTCCCTGATACCAGTAGTTCACAGTGCTTTCAGGGTTGTTCATGGTAAAAAATGTGACTCACATGAATCATGACCTTGGTAGGTTTAAATAATGTTTTTCAAACTGACCATTAAATGTGTGTTCTTTTCACAATTGGTTTAGTACCATGATTTTCTCATTTCTTTGCTTTTTGCCAGTGATTTTGCTATTTAAGGTGATCTCCACAAACTTCCAGAGTATCTTAATGTTTCTGAGCATAAGAAGACAGAAGTGGGTAAAGATGAAGTAAGGATGCTGTTAGAGTTTAGTATTAATGAACCAGTAACACTGATCCATTGAGAAAAATATGACAGTTTGCCTCAGAGCAGTGATACTGTTGATCTTTGCAGGCGTTTGTACCATGTAACTATAGCAAAAGAAGGACCCCTCCTTCCCAGCCACTATACTTCATTTCTTAGTTGCCCAGGTAATAGTTCCAGTTCCAGTTCCTGTTACTTTTGTTTCTTAGAAACGTGGTCACTGTGATGCATAGCTGGTCGTGGTGATGCACACTGTATAAACCAACCCCAGCTGACAAGCCATTCTGCCTCTGTACTTCCTGCTTGCTTATCCCATGTAAACTTATCCCTAGGCCAACAGAGATTAGGGCCTGATATTCTGGGAATGATCCTGATCAGTACCTGCTGACATAAATAAATCTGCCTCCAATCCTGGGTGGTGGTTTGGTGTTTCTGCTTGCTAATGCATCACTGCAGTAAGTTCCAGACGTTTGAGTTGCAAACTTTCACAGATACAACATTCATAGATGGGAACAAATTGCAGAAATAGTTCACACGTGTGCTGCTGTGTACCTGCTGTGCAGTGCAATAGTGTACAATGGTAACAGTGCTCAGTTGGAGCCCAGGGTGTCAAAGCAGGGCAAAAAGTGGTGATGTGGAGGGCACTGATAGGAAGTGCAAAGCAGTAACCACAGAAACAAAAGTGAAGAGAGATTTGACCAAGGTGAAATGATGGCAGGTGTTGCTCATTCTCATGACTCACTTGACCACTGGCAAATGGTCAAATGCCAAATTAAAGAACAAAGACAGGATCGTGGAATATGTGAAATGTGCTGTGCTAATGAAGTCAACAATAATACCCAGAAAGCATTGCTGTGGTGATACAGGACATGGAGAGACTTCTTTATGTGAATCCAGACTCAGCATCAGCTTAATGCTTATCAAGGAAAACCTGTTCAGAGAGTTCAAGAAAACATGGGGTGGATAGGGTACATCTTTCACTGCCAGCTGTAGATGGTTTTAGAGTCAAGTTGAGAATCAACCTGTACAGTGTAAAACTGGGCATCGAGGCTGTGAAAGCTGACACAAGAGCTGCCTGAGAACTTTCAGCTCTGGAAATTACTGATGAAAGTGATTGTTTATCCTAACAGGTTTTGAGTATCAATGAGCAGGGCTGTTCTGGAAAAGGGTGTCAAAACAGTTACGCCAGTGTAAGGGGAAAAACAACTCCAGTCTTCAGAGCAGCAAAGGACACCCTCACTCAGGGCAGTGCTTGGTGATGTGAAACCAAAGCCCTGTTGGTTCACCATTCAGAGAACTAAGCACACTCAAGAACAGCTAGAGGCTTGCTCATTTTGTTGGGGAGTAGCTCCAAGACCTGGGATACACAGACCACTTTCTAGGACTGTTTTTTCATCCCTTTATCCCAGAGAAAACTGCTTGTTTTTTGAGGTAGGATCTTGCTATGTAGTTCAGGCTAACCATGAACTCACAATGTGGCACAGCCTGTCCTGGAACTCGAAGTAATCCTCCTGCTTCATCCTTCTAAGTGCTGGGATCACAGATGTGCACCAGCGCACCAAGCTCGAGAAATCTTATAAAAAAGTTATCACAGTCAACATTCTTTTGCTTTTTAGCAACACACCAGGTCACCCCCAACTGAAGGATGACTATTTTTTCTTTTTCTTTTCTTTTTTTTTTGAGCTAGAGTCTTACTCTGCAGCTCAGGCTGCTTTGAATTCACTATGTAACACAACCCAGCTCAGGCTGCCTTGAACTCACTATGTAACACAACCTGACCTGGAACTCACAATGATCCTCTCTTGCCTCAGCCGTCTGAGTGCTGGGATCATAGATGTGCACAAAGCACATTCAGCTTCATAGTTAACTTTCTCTCCAGCATCACAGCAGTGAGTGTATCTGCCACTGAATACTGTGACACTCATCCCACTTGTGAGCCAGGGAACCATTTCAACTTTCAGGAAATACTTAAATCACACCCTTTTGCAGGCAGTGAAAGCAACCAATGAAATAGAAACGACCTGGTAACAATTTTGCTAGAACTGGACTATAAGATCTACAAGACCATAAAACACATCAGCTTACTTTTCGTGAGTCTTCAGCTGTCAGCATGAATGGGGTTTGGAAGAACCTTTGCAGCAGTTTGCACATGAAGTTCATGAGCTTGAGAAGATAGCTGAGGACTCCAAAGAGGCCTTCAATAGCTTGGCGACCTCTAGCGAAAAGCCAAGAATCCGGAGCCACATCTGCAAGGGAAACAACTTCACAGAATGCCTTGCTTCGGAGCGCAAGGAACTGACTGATAAGGATCTGAGGGAAGTGGAGCCCAGCAAAAAGACAGCTGAGAGAAAGATGAAGCTGAAGAGCCAAAGCCAAAGAGATCCCCAGCACAGGACATTGCAAGGGGGTCTTGTTTACTTGAAGAAGCACTGTTTTTGAGGCACAGGACCCCAGTGTAGAGTGATACACCAGTAGCAGGAACCACTCAGAACACTTGTCAGGTGCTACGAGTCATCTAGGATGAGAAAATAAAGAGCTACTCCTCAGACATCACTGGGTCTTAAGAGGGTAGGCAGAACTGAGTCCATCAGAAAACCCGTGCCATTGGCACCAGGTGTGGCCACTTTATTTATTTATTTATTTAAAGAAAACAAAACAGTGAAAGGGTACAAGTAATACAAAATTTAAAAAAAGAACTTAAGAAATCACTAGTTAATAGATTACATATTGTCATCTTAAAAATAGTTGATCAAGTTACAAAATTAAGCATACAAAGTGGACTTTCAAACAGTGAAACTGCAAACAGTTGTGTTCAATGATCCAACAAAAACTTTGTAATATAGTCATTTGTCTTACACACCTAAACATACTTGCAGTTGTGTCCTTCAGAGCACTTTCTTTTCCTCTCTTTTTTACAATAACATTTACACATTTTGGGTTTTATACTCCCATAGATCTTATTACTTTTTCTTTTTTTGGAAGAGAATAAAACCAAATGTGACAAAGGATAGACATAGTACATGACATAAAAACAGAATTCAAGGTAATCAACAATGGCTACCATAATACCTCTTGCTACCTTAATAAAAAGAATTGCCTATATCATCAGGTATAATGAAATTGAACAAAACAGTACAGAACAAAACCGATAAAGCCTGAACATTTGAGACATTACTGAACTTCAAAAGAAGATAATAGTCAAACCACAATGGGTATCATAGTGAATCTTATTGCCTTCAAAGTAGTTGCCTATACCTTCAAAATTGATCATATCAAACAGAACAGAATAAAGTCAGTCAAAACGAGATGGTGAGAGCAATACAGGGCTTCAAATTGAGTTAATAGGAAATCAAAAAGTTACTATAATATATCCTGCTAATATTTTAAAATTTTTTCCCTGAATTTTAAAAAATAATAAAAAAATAAATTTTAAAAAAAGGGGTGAGATTGAGATAAAAGAGGACATAACATAACAATACAGGTCAGAACAGAACAATTTAAGCAACATAGTGTTTCACCTCAAGATAACCTGACTTAATAGTACATAGTGTCTCTTTCCTTGAAATATTTGAGTATAACTTCATATACTATAGCATCTAACATAACAAGAGAGTATGAAACCATTCAAGAGGATGGAAGTATTACAAGGTATTTAGAACTAGCTAACAGAAAATGAACAATGGTTTCTATATTATCTCTGCCTATAAAAAATTGTTTGTACTATCACATATAATAAAATCCAATACTATACAACATGATAAAAACAATGGAGACAGAAGAACAATAGTTTGATGGGACTTCAAGCTGATATTAAATTAGCACTAGCTATTATGATGTCTTGTTTTCTTCAAAATAGCTGTTCATATCATCACAGGCAATAATATCAAACAGCCCAGAATAAAACCATTCCAATTAGAGAGGGGAAACTTTATAAGGCTTAAAAGCCATATAATGAGGAATCATGATTACCACATACTTTTATGTATTCTTATCATTTCTTACAGTAGGGAAACCGATATTCATACATGTGAGTTTGATTTATTTCACTTATGAGTATGGTCTCAAGCTGCATCCATTTATTTATAAATATCTCAATGTGATCCCTCTTTATAGCTGAGTATTATTCCATTGGATAAAAATACCACAACTTTTTTATCCATTCTTCACTTGATGGATACTTAGGTTGTTTTTAAGACCTGGCTATTACAAATTGTGCTGCTATAAACATAGGTGCACATATATCACTGTGGTATGATGCTTTCAGTTCTTCTGGGATTAGAAGTGGAATAGCTGCGTCAAATGGGACTTCCAATCCCAGCTATATGAGAAATCTCCAGACTGACCTCCAAAATGGTTGCACCAGTCTACACTCCCACCAACAGTGCAGGAGAGTTCCTTTTTCCCCACAGCCTCTCCAGCGTTTGTCGTTGGTGGTTTTCTTGATCCTGGCCATTCTTTCAGGAATGAGATGGATTCTCAGTGTGGTTTTAATTTGCATTTTTCTAAGGACTAATGATGCTGGACATTTCTTCATATATTTATTTGCCATTTGTATTTCTTCATCTGAGAACTGTGTATTCATCTCAGATGCCCATTTTTGGACTGGATATTTTTATTTTGGGGGGCTGATTTTTTAAAATTATTTATATGTTTTAGACAGAAGTCCTTTGTCTGAGGAAGAGTTCACTAAGATTTTTTTCCCAGTTTGTGGGTTTTCTTTTCACTGTGCTGGAGATTTCTTTTGACATGCAGAAACTTTTTAATAACAGATGACTCTAGTTATTGATTCTGGGAAGTATTTCCCATGCGGTTTGAGTCCTGTTCATGAATTCTCTACCTACTCCTATGTCTTCAAGGTTTTTACCCAATTTGTCTTCCAATAGATTTAGTGTTTCTGTTTTAATATTCAGATCTTTCACCCATTTAGATTTTAATTTATTACATGGTGATAAGCATGGGACTAGTTTTAGTTTACGGCATATGGAGAGCCAGTTGTTCCAACACCATTTATTAGTGTCGTTCTTCCAGTGAACATGTTTGGCCCCTTTATCAAAGATAAGGTGGTTGAGTGTGTTTGTAGTTTTGGTTGTATCTTCTAATCTATTCTGTTGATCTTCAGCTCTGTTTTGATTCCAGTATCATGTTGATTTTACTACGGTTGCTTTGTAGTATAACTTCAAGTCAGGGATTGTGATGCCTCCTGCCTTGCCTTTGCTGCTTAGAACTGTCTTTGCTATTCTAGGTCTCTTCTGGCTCCAGATGAATTTTACAGTTGATTTCTCGAGATCTATGAGGTATGTTGATGGTATTTTTATTGGGATTGCATTGAATCTGTATAACAGTTTTGGGAGAATGGCCATTTTCACAATATTTATTCTTCCTATCCATGAGCAAGGGATGTCTTTCCATTTTCTGATATTGTCTTCAGTTTCTTTTTTCAGTGTTTTATAATTTTCACCATATAGGTCTTTCACTTCTTTTGTGAGAATAATTCCTAAATATTTCATTGTTTTGCTTGCCAGTGTGAAGGGTTGGCTTCTCTTATTTGTCAGTGATTTTGTTGTTAGTGTGTAGGAATGCTATCGATTTTTGAGTATTGATTTTGTATTCAGCTACATTACTGAATTTATTTATTATATCTAAGAGTCTTTCAATGGAGTTTTGGGGGTCTTCTATGTAGAGTATCATGTTATCTGCAAACAATGATAATTTAACTTCTTTTTTCCCTATCTTTTCCCCTTTTATTTCTCCCTCTTGACTAATTGCTCTGGCTAGTATTTCCAGTACTATATTAAATAGAAGCGGTGTTAAGGGACATCCTTGTCTTGTGCCTGATTTTAAAGTAAAGGCCTTCAATTTTTGGGCATTTAGTATGATACTGGCTGTTGGTTTGTCATAGATGGCCTTTATTATATTGAGGTAAAGACCATCTATTCCAATTTTCTGTAAAGTTCTTATCATAAATGAATGTTGGACCTTATCTAAGGCTTTTTCTGCACCTATAGAAATCATCATGTAATTCTTACTTTTGGCTTTATTGACATGGTGGATTACATTTATTGATTTAAGTATGTTGAAGCATCCCTGCATGCCTGGGATGAATCCTGCTTGGTCATGGTGTATAATCTTAATGATTATTTGCTACATGCTTTTTGCCAATATTTTATTGAGGATTTTTGCATATGTGTTCATTAGGGTGATTGGTCTGTAATTCTCTTTTTTAGTTGGGTCTTTATCCAGTTTGGTACTAGAGTAATATTTGCTTCCAGGAATGACTTAGGAAGGATTGCTTCCCTTTCAATTTCATTAAAGAGTTTGAGAGGTGTTGGCATTAAGTCTTCTTTGTATTTCTTGTAGAATTCTGCAATAAATCCCTCTGGACCTGGGCTTTTCTTTGTAGGTAAGGACTTAATTACATTTTCAGTTTCATTAATAGAAACTGGGTTATTCAACAGTTTTACATCTTCTTGACTTAGCTTTGGTACTTCATATGTTTCTAGGAATCTGTCTGTTTCTTCTGTGTTATCAAATCTTTTGAGAGGAGAGGTTTTCAAAATAGGTGTTGATGAACTTCTGTATGTCTGTAGAATCTGTAGTGATTTCATCTTTTTCATTTCTTATTGCATGAATTTAAGCTTTTACTTCCCTTTTTAAAATAAGGTTGGCTAGGGGCTTATCAATTTTACTTATTCTTTCAAAGAATCAACTCTTTGATTCATTGATTCTTTGGATTGTTTTCTTAGTCTCTATTGCATTAATTTCTGCTCTGATTTTTATAATTTCCTCTCTTCTTTTGGCTTTGAGCTTGACTTGCTTTTCGTTTTCTAGATGTTTGAGGTGTAACATCAGGTTATTTATTTGTATTCATTCTGTTTTCCTGATGTGGGAACTCAGTGCAATAAATTTTCCTCTGAGGACAGCTTTCATTGCATCCCACTGATTCTGTTAAGTTGTATCTGTATTTTCCTTTGCTCGTAGGTATTGCTTAATTTCCCCTGTGACCCACTGATTACTCAAGAGTGCGTTATTCAGTTTCCATGTGTTTCTGGGATTTTTGCAGTATCTTTTATCATTAGTTTCTAATTTCGGAGCACTATGATCTAATAACATGCAAGGGATAAATTCAACTCTTTTGCATTTATTTAAGTATGTTCTATGAGCTAATATATGGTCTATTTTAGAGAATGACCCATGTACTGATGAGAAGAATGTGTATTCTGACGTTGATGGATGGAACACTCTGAATATGTCTATCAAGTCCATTTGTTCACAGGTGTGATTCAGTTCTGTTATTTTTGCTGATTTTCTGTCTGGTTGATCTGTCCCTTGGTGTCAATGCTGTGCTAAGGTCTCCTGTTGTAATTGTGCTATTGCTAATTTGGTTTTTCATTTTTGTTAATACTTGTTTTATGTAACTGGGTGCTCTGGAATTTGGTGCATATATATTTAAGATAGTTATCTCTTCCTCTTAAAGTTTTCCCCTAACCAGTATGTAGTGACCTTCTTTATCTTTTCTGATCATTAT